CTTGCAAGCAGGCAGTCCTGAGTTTGATCCCTGGTACCGATAAAAACGAAAAACACACCAAAAAAATAAAAAATAAACATGCTCATTAAAGAATAATTTTCTTTCTTTTTTTTTTTTTTTTTTTTGTCTTTTTCCTTTTTATCAGTACCAGGGATCGAACTCACGACTACCTGCTTGCAAGGCAGGTGCTTATGCTGCTGAGCTAAATCCCCAGCCCCCAAGAATAATTTTCTGAAAATGTGTCCAGTCACTGGGTGTTGTGCATACCTGTAACCCCAGCACTCAGGAGGTTGAGGCAGGATTGCCACAAGTTCAAGGCCAGTCTGAACTACACATTGAAAGACCTTGTCTCAAAAAAAAAAAGAAAAAAAAATTCACCAAAGTCCCGTCTGCCTTAGTCTGGGAGAATTGTAAATTTGAGCACAGGGTTGGCCACTTAGCAACTTGTCTCAAAATCAAAAATAACTAGGGATACAGCTCAGTGCAGAGGCCCTGGATTCAATCCCACATACCTCTCCAACATGCACAGATTCCCCCTGCCTTGGCCAGTGCTTTTGGTATGTTGCTGTCACTGACCCTCATTAAATGTGACTGAAAACAGGCTGCTAAGAAGGGAATCAGTGCTAGTGAGTCCTCTAATGGTGATAAAGTCCTTGAGGAATGTTTTGACTTTTAGGCAACTCAGTTCTGTGTTTTTCCCATTGCTGTTGAAGTTGTGGCTTTTCCTGTCTGTTGGTTTAACACCTGGCTTCCTGAATAAATCAGTGTGAATTCAGATCCCAACAGCTTAAAAAACATAAGGAGGATGACAAATCATGGAAGCCATCTTTTTTTGGCAGTGTTAAAGATTGATGGCTGGGTGAGTACTGTGCTGCTGAGCTGTTTCAGGAGCTCTTTCTGTTTTTGGCTGGACTGGAACTCATAGTGATCCTCCTTCCTCAACCTTCTGAAGTAACCAGCATTAGTGGTGATGCATGCCTATAATCCCAACTCAGGAGGCTGAGACAGGATTACTGTGAATTTGAGGCCAGCCTGGATTACATAGTGGGAACTTGTTTCAAGAAATCAAAAAAATAAAAGACATTGAATGTAGCTCAGTGTAAAGACCATGCATTCAATCCATAGCACCAGGAAAGGAAAGTGGGAGGAGAGAAAAGAGAAGAAAAGACTCCTAGAGCTGGAGTTGTACAGCATGATGGTAGAGTGCTTGCCTAGCATGTGCAGTGCCCAGGGTTCAATCCCCAAGCACCAAAAAAAGAGTAGGAGTTTCAGTCTGGCAGGGACATTTTTGGCCACAGTGAAAGCAGGAAAGTGTCTCAGATTTGGGCCTTAACTGCTCTGGAAGGCTGGCTGGAGCTGTCCCCTCTGAGCCTCAGCTCCGTGAACCTTTTTATTGTCACCAAGGGACTGCCTCTCAGCTCAGTCTCCCGGATGGTTTGCTGGCGAATGATTTTTCTCACGGCAAACCCGTGGTCTGGGGCTCAGTTTCCTGTCCTCCTGTCTGCTCTGTTAGCTGTGCCGGCAGCTGTACCTTCTCATGAGCACTGATAAGACCGCAGGGCTGAGCCTGTGAGATGAGGCCCGATTTTGGGTGGTATGAGAGTTGTGCAGTCTCCCTATAGAGAGCTTTTCACTCTTGGACTTTGGTCCTAGCATATGCAGGAGTCTGGCGCCTTTACTCCCAAAAAGCCACCATTGTTTTCTCTGGTCTGTCAAGTGTTTCCCTCTAACTGTACTTAGGTCTGTTGGGTCCTCCCTTGAGCTTTTGGTCTTTGTTTTGAGATGTCATTCATGTACTATACACTTGCCTATATAAGACGTGCATAGTCCTCCTCCTATTATTTTTATTATTTGTACCAGAAACAGCTCAGGAAGCAAGGACACAAGTCTGAATGATCACCAGGACTTTTGGCGTTGCAAGACATCTGGCTGATAATGCCTTTGTATTGTGTAGTGTGCAAACCGTTTCCTGAGTCCTCCTTTTTCATTTATGTTTTTTTCTTTTCTAGTTCAGGCTGGCCTTGAAGTCACTATGTACCCCAGCCCTTGAACTTGCAGCAATCTTCCTGCCTCAACCTCCTGAGTGTTAGGATTTAGGTTTGTGGCACAATGCCCAGCTATTTGTTTTTGAGGCAGGGTTTCACAATGTACTGAAGGCTTGACTCCAACTTGTGACCTCTGCTCAGCCTCTCCCATGCTGGGCTTATAAGTGTGTTCTCACCACTGTGGATCCTTTTGATTCTGGGATTTTTTTTTTTGGTGATGAGGTGCTTGTGCAGACTGTGGAGTCCTCTTCCACTGTGTGTCTGATCTTGTTGATAGCAGTGTTGCCTCTGGAATTTGAGAGCTGTGTGGGTTGGCTAAATCATATACTGGAGGGCTTAGTTCTGCGTGTTTTTCCTGAGCTTGGTAATTGCATGTTTTGTGACCTTTAGCACATTGTCAAAAGTACCTGTTGCAGGTGTATATCAGTGGTTTTGGCTGATTTATTAGTAGCAGAATGTGCCTAGTCCTGCCGTGTTACCCAGGCCAGGCTTGAACTCGTGGCCTCAAGTAATCCTCCTGCCTTGACTTATCTGGTAGCTGGGACTACATGTACGAGAAATTGTACCCAACCCCTCCTTTTTAAAAATTTACTTACTGTGAGTGAGTACACTGGCACATCCTTGCAATCCTAGCTTCTTAGCAGCCAAGGCAGGAGGATTGTGAGTTCGAGGACAGCCCAGGCAACATCATATAGTAAGATACTGTCTCAAACACACACACACACACTGATTTTAGGTATACAATCCAAGGATTTTTAGTGCAATTTACAGAATTGTACAGCAATTAACAGAATCTAACTTTAAAACATTTCCTTCATCCCCCAGAGATCTTGTGTCCTTCACTGACACTCACTTCGCCCCCCCCTCCAAATGCCCCCAGCATCCCACAACCACTGATCTACTTCCTGTCACAGTTGACTTGCCTTTTCTGGACATGTTTTATGATTTAATTTGTATGAAATGTTCAGATAAGGGACTTTTAAACTGGTGATGTAGTGGATGGTTGCTTTCAGAACTTCCTGTTTCAGAATTCCTCTTTTCTGCTGTGCAAGTTACCTTGGATTTATTGGCCTGTGCAGGATCCCCTGGGGAGGGGCTGTTCACTTGTTTTGCACAATGGCAGCTTTTTTCATCTGTAGATTGGTGATTTGAGAAACATCAGGTTTTAGGCCTGCAACTGTGGTGTATTTTTGGGCACTACAATAGATTATTCCCACTTGGGAAAGTAAATGTAACACAGGTGAAAACAATTAGGAGTAAAGGAAAACCTATTAGCAAGCATGTGGCCTAAGATGCTTGTATTTGAGTCCTGCTTATCTAGCACCCTGTGCAGGTTAAGATCTTTCCTGGCCGGGCTGTAAGGGCAAATGAGGAGTCCCATGATCAGGTTGTTCCCTTTCCTGGCCTTTCAGGCATTGGAGTCCTCCAAGTGAAGGCTCCTTTGGTGGGAGCGATTGTTACCTGTTCTTTCAGAAAGGAGCCAGCCTCTGACCTTTTATACAGAAATGTACCTGCAGGAGTTTACATTGTTTCTCTTTGATTAGAGCAAGGTCAGATTTTGGGACTTAAGAGCCAGGTCTATCTCTGGTGCTCAGGAGGGAGCCATCCAGAGCAGAGGTGTGACCTGCCTTGCCTATAGGGTGGGAGAAGTAGACATAGGAAATTTGTTTCTGGAATCTGAGATATGAAGTGGCCTTACCGGGTGGAGAGGGGCAGAAAGATTGGGAAAGGAGCATGTTTAGGGCACTTTGCTCAGTGACAGCACCCTTCCTTTCTGACTGGCCCTTTTCAGCTCTCCTGTCCCAGGGCTGAGTGCTCCCTTGGCCTGGTTGGATGGAGCCACATCCAAGAGTCCTGGCCTCTGTTTGGGCCTTTGAAAATCATGCATCTGTGCTGGTTGTGTGTGACTTTGAATGGGGGACAGGGACAGAACCACTGTGCGGCTGAAACACAGTTGAGGGAGCAAGTTAGACCCTGTGGCTGGATGACGAGTTGCTTTCCTGTACGAGGAAAGAAATACCCAAGTAGACACAGGGTTGGGAAACTGCTCACAGACAAACTGTCAGCAGCGTATGTGGATCCTCAACTACTTGTAAGATGGAAATAGGGTAGATTGATTCTTGAGCCCAATGACATCGGTCACCATTGGCAGCCCTCTTCTGGGCTTTCTAAAGGAGAGGGTCTGTATAGTATATGGGCTTTTGCTCAATTCATGTAGAAACCCACAACTGGTAAAGTGTAGCTTTATTCGTGTTACCACCCCTGAGCTCTGAATGCCAGCAGCTATCAGTTTTTCAGTGTTGGCAGCCCTCCTTTCGACTCAGAGCCAACAGCCACTCAGGTGTTGGAAACTCTTTTTTGGGGTGGGGGGACTCTTTAGCCACCAGAGATGGCAGCTCCCAGCGATCTTCACTATTCTGCATTTTTAGTTCTTAGTGTCCCCATTGTGCATGATCTACTCATCTAAAAAAGGCTTTATTAGGCCTTATGCCACAGCATCAAGGGGAACAGCACACGACTAAACCCACTAAGGGTGTGGGGAGATGGAGTATGTAGGAAAAAAGGTAGATTCACGTGTAGCAGTGTTCACGGGCAGGTGCGGCCCTTGTGGACCTAATTGAGGAGGGCTGCAAAGGGACAGAATCATCCAGAGAGGTGACAAGGCAGGGTCACGTGGATAGGTCCAGATCTGCAGTCAGCTGCAGCCAGGGCAGATGCTTCCAGAGCAGCCATGGGGCACTTGAGGCACTGCAAGGCCTTTGGTGGAACCACAGAAGAAAAATACCTCATGTGTGCTGAGCCCTTCTGTCCTGTCTCAGAACTGGCTGAACCTTAGTACTCCGCTTGTCCATTTGGGGATTTGTAAGACCCTGGTCGTCCTCCCACAGGTAGGCAGATGACCTTGGATACCAGGGTTGCCCTGCTGAGTTAGTTGGGTTTTGCTTTGTGTTTCAGACTTTTGCCAAGCTTCACAGGTAGTGGGGAGATGCCGGGCCTCCATCCCCAGGTGGTGGTACAATATCACTGATGGTTCCTGCCAGCTGTTTGTGTATGGAGGCTGTGATGGAAATTACAATAATTACCAGAGTAAGGAGGAATGTCTTGGGAAATGTGCTGGTGTCACAGGTAAGGCCGTGGTAGTTTTGGTGATTTTACTGTTCAGGGGAGTTATGGGTTGGATGAAGCCATCTTTTGTACCCAGGTTCTTCACAGCAGAACCTGGGAGACACTTTAAAAAGCAGAAGAAACAGGCTGTCAGGCCCCTGTGGTCACACCATGCTTTCACAGAACCTCCTTTCTTTCCAGAAAAGGAGGGCAGCCCTTCCCTCTCTTAGTGCAAGGCCTCTGATCCCTTTGTACAAGGCCACCTCCTTGGTGCCTGGGCATTTTGGGCTATTTTTAGCTCTAAAACAAGTGATCTGAGAAGCTCACACAGCCAAAGTACAAGTCATGTTAACACTGGATCCTGCATCCTGGGATCTATCTTCCTCGCAGCCTTCACTTGTACAGGACTCTGTGAAATCAAGAGAATGTTGATTCTGGCAGCCTTATAGTTTATATCAAAACTGGAAGCCCTACCAGCCCATCCTGGCTCTGACTCTAGCATGAAGGACCCCTGGGAGAGAGCTAACTATAGGGAGGCCTGATCCTTCCCTAGTGTTGGGAAGACTGATGATAGGACTATCCAGAGCCTCTTGTAAATATTTTCAAGGGGGCTGGAGATAGTTCAGTAGCTCAAGTGCTTGCCTGGTAAGCGGCAAGTCGTGAGTTCAATCCCCAGTACCAAAAATAAAAAATTTTCAGGGACACTGACTTGACATTATTATGTGACTTCCCGCAGATCTCAATGACTGGCATTGAGGTGACTCCTATATGGGAATTCTGTGTTGTGCCCCCAGCCACTGTCACCCTGTGAGCCCGGTCCCCCATTGGGGTGTGGTTTCTCTGCTCACTCTGCTATACAGTATTCTGTCTCCCTTGGCTTTAAGCTGTACATTCAGGGTTAAGCTAAGCTTATTTGAGTTGTATGTAAAGAAGTGACAACAGCGGCTTTGGTGTGACCTAGGTCTAAAGCAGTGCTGGGCACACAGCGTGGCAGAGACAGTTCCTCTAGGAGCTTTTGTCTCAGCAAAGTCTGGAGAGCTGAGGGCAGGCAATGATTTTAGATCATACAGGCCAGTCTCTTACTTTCAGGGGTAGTTGTCAAGATGATAACTGAGGAAAATACCACTTATTGTGTTTTTCCATCATCAGTTATAACTCAATGTTGGGGGAAGAGTCAGGAAATATTTTTGCTTCCTCTGAAGTATCAAGGAACAAAACATAAGATGGGATGTTCTATGGGAGATGGGTTGCGTTTTGCTGAAAGAAAGCAGATTTTTGGTGTCTCTAAAGGAGGTCCAGAGCCTGGCATCAGCGCTGAGGGTTTAGAAAGCTTATTTGTGGGTAGCTGCTGTATCCTTCTCACAGGACCTCGAGATGAGAGCTGAAAGTGACCAAGCAGCTGGTCTCTGGAGTCCTTGTGCCGGCATGTTCTCTCCTGGGCAGGAAACTCCAGGGGAGGCCAAAAGAGAAAGAGGAGGCCATTTATTAATTTATAAGGAGAACTAGAGCCACTCTGGGGACCAGACACTCAATGTCGCTGGGCCTGGCATGGCTCCACATAGGCAAGCCACAGCCACATTACTAGAAGATTTGCTGATAAAGAGAGCTGTGGAACCAGGGCAGCTGGTTTGTGAGGTAACTGTCGAATGGCATCAGGTTAGACCAACCCTGGCCTCCAGACCCTCCCAGACCGGCCAGCCTCTCCACTTAGCACTTTACTATCACACAAAACTGGCTATTGTAACCACTTAAACGTTCAGTTTAATGGTAGTAAGTGCATTTATACTGTTGTATGCCCTGTATTCTTTAAATAAGTAGATATAAATACATGGATTATTTGGCTCTGGAAGCCCTTCTGTCTTTTTAGAGACACTCAGCGCATGTACTTGGATTGCCTGTTGGTTGACCCTCAGAGTAACCCTGAGACCCTGTGGGTTCCTTGTGTGGTCTAGCTTGTATGCTAAAGGCCATGTACCTAGGAGATGGGAGCTGCCTGGAAAAAATAAGGCCCACTAGACCTTTTTAGCTGCTCAGATATAGTGACCTCTCTTCAGCAATCCTGGAAGTGCTTTTCTTACTGTCCCATTTATTTGTCTGCTTGCAGAGAATACCATTGATCATCTCGGGACCAGAAGGAGTGGAGCAGAGTCCTCTGTCTCAAGTGGTAGGTTTTTTTATGGGGGTCAGGGTACAGGGGGTCAGACTCACAACCTTGTGCTTGCCAGGCAGGCGCTTATGCCACAGAGCTAAATCTCCGACCCTCAAGTGGTAGGTTCTTTTAAGATTCCAGTGGTAACTATGAAAGGACATCTGTAGTTTGGGCATTGTAAAGGGCTTCTACTTCCTGCTTCTGTTGGCTTGGGATGGCATACAGAGTCTGCCTATGCAGCCAGCTTCTAGCTGCAGCATCCTGCTATCTAGGAGTCCCCTTGTCTTTAAGCAGAGGCTTCTCCAGTGCCTCCCAGCTACCCGCCTTCCTGGAGGACAAGGTCATTGCTCCTGTGGCTCAAGCCTCTGCCTGCTGTGCTGCCTTTACTTCCCCATCTGCAGCTTTGCCTATTCTACCTCCTTTGTTCCTTGTTACCATTGCTGTCTCCTTCCCTCTGCAAAAAGTCCTCTGTCTTCTGCTACCCTGCCTCTCTGTCACTGCAGTTCTTGATCTCGAGCTTTGTGTTAGCTTGCTTTGTAGTGCTGACAGCAGCTGCCCCACTCCTTTATGCTTAAAGGACTCTGCAGCAGGAGCCTGGGTGAGTGGCCCCACACAGCAAGTCCCACATGCCCCCGAGAGGGCCAGCCCCTAGACAGTGGTTCCACAGGGAGGGAGGAATGACGGGTTCCACATCAGCCCCTCCAATGATGAGCCTACCTAGGCGGCACTGGTTGCAGCCTGCATCCTGGGCCTCTGACTCTGCTAGCAGGGCCCAGCCAAAGCTTGCAGAATGTGAGTTAGACTAGAGTCACTTTTCAGTTGTGCCGGGCTGGGAGTCCTGTGAATACCCTGCTATTGTTCTGCCTGGATCTATGATTTATTCTTTGCTGGTCTCTCCAAGGTCATCCAGAGCCCTGGAGGCCTGACATGGTGACTCTGGTTTTGTTTTTGTTGGGCTGTATGTGTGTCTTTTTGAGACAGGGTTTTGCTATGAGTTCAGGCTGCTCTTGAGCTCACTTTGTAGCTCAGACTGGTCCTGAACTTTCTACAATCCTCCTGCCCCAGCCTCCTGAGTGCTAGGATTACAGGTGTATGCCACCATGTCTGGCTGAGTCTGGTTTTTACCCATTTGAGAAGAAAATTTCCCTGGGAGAGAAATTTCTAATTGTGTCAGGAAATGCGAACAAGCTTGTCTTCCTTACTTGCATGGTGGCATGAGCCTCTTTTCCAGCTTGCAGAAGGATTGCACGTTCAAAGCTAACCTGGGCAACTTAGTGCGACCCTGTCTCAATTAATTAATTAATTATTTTAACAGTTGCCTTCATGTTCCCACCAGAATCAGGACTGGGATTAGTTTCCATAGTAAACCGAGGTAGCAGGAGGGCCTCCCCTCCATTATTCATTTCAGTGTGTAAGTGCTCTAGAGCCCATTAGGGCTGGAAGGTAATATTGTCCACACCTTTCCTTAAAGGTGATACTCCCTTAGTGGGCCATTAAGAGACTCAGCCCCTACCAGGCCACATGTCCTGTGTCCATCCCAGCTTCTGTAACATAGATGTTTTGTTTTTCAGGGTCCAGAAGGCAGAATTCTGATGATCTCTCTGGTGATGTCTTCAGCTATGAAGGTATAACTTTTAAAAAAAAAAACATATGAATGAGCTGGAAATGGTGGTACATACCTGTAATCCTAGCACTTGGGAGGCTGAGGCAAGAGGATTGCCACAAGTTTGAGGCCAGCTTGGGCTATATAGTGAGTTTGAGGCCAGCCCGAATTACAGATCATGACCCTGCCTCAAAAAAAACAAAGGTTATAAATGACCCTGGCATGGTGGCACATGTTTGTAATCCCAGCACTTTAGGATGCTGACGCAGGAGAGTTTCAAGTTTGAGCCCAAACTGGACAACTTAACGATTTAATGAAACCTTGTCTCAAAGTTTTAAAAATTAAAAAAATAAAGAGCTGGGGATATATAGCTCAAAGCAAAGATCTGGGTTCAGTCTCTAGTAGTAGGGGAAATTTTATGCATGGGGCAAAATGGGACTTCTTACTGGGGACTGAGACACATAAACAGGTTACCACTAAGGGAACTACAGAGCAGAGCTTCCGGACCTTTCCCAAGCAGAAGCACTCTGAAGTTATGGTTGGAAAAGCCACTAAGGCTTCTTAGTGGCTGTCCTGGGCTGGCAGGAAGCAGGATGTACGAGCAGAAGCTTCATAGGCAGAAGAGTGCAGTTTTGGAATTTATCTACTGCTGCATCTCTCACAGCCACATGGCCACAAGTAGTTTAACTGTCCTCAGTTCCCACATGTGAAGTGAGGGCCACAGGACAGGTCTCAGGTGGAGGCTGAGTCTACATGGAGAATGCCTGGTGTAGCGTAATCTCCAAACTAACAGTCTTGGCTGTAGAGAAGGTATCTTAAAAACTAAGGCAGTGTCTTGTGGATGGAAATTCACTGACTGGGTTTGACACTTTGAGCAATGCAGCGGCTCCGGGACTTGGAGCTGAGCGCTAATAAGTAGGAGGTAGAGCCAGGGTGGGTGCCTGCTGGTAGTAGGTGATCTCAAGGTTGTGTGGCCTGAGCCTGCAATTCTCTGTGAAGGTCCTAATAGCAAGGGGCAAAAAGCAGGCTCCAAGTTCCCAGCTGAGTGAGTCCCTTTGGGAGCAGGAACAGAGCTTTGGGGTCTCTAGCGGCAGGACTCAGGCCCCACAGTGGCTGGCCCTTAATGGCTGCCCTCTTCTAACAGCACCATTTGCATCCACCCTGTGCCTGGCCTTCCCTGGCAGAAAGCCCTGTCTCCCAGCCTCCTTCAGTGCCCTGTTTAGGTGAGAGGCTAACTTGTTTCTCCTTTTGATTGTGCAGTCTTTTTAAGGGCTTACTATATGTCCCTGAGGGGGACAATGCAGGAAATGTCCAACTTCTCCAGTTTCATTGAAAAATTTGAGATTCAGGCATGGTGGCGCATCCCTGTAATCCCAGCACTCAGGAGGCTGAGGCAGAAGGAGTTTGAGACCAGCCTGGGCTACAAAGTGATCTCAAGTCCAGCCTGAACTGCATAGAGACCCCGTCTCAAAAAGACATAAATAAATAAATGCGTAAGGCAGAAGGTCAGCTGGGCTGACTGGCTCTGTCCGAAACTCCCATGATTCTGAGCCAGCAAGGCGATGTTTTCTTTTTTTTTTTGTCTTTTTCGTTTTTATTGGTACCAGGGATCGAACTCACCACTGCCTGCTTGCAAGGCAGGTGCTTATGCCGCTGAGCTAAATCCCCAGCCCCTAGGCGATGTTTTCTTTACCTGCAACTGTGTTCACTCAGACACATCGTGGCTCCACTCCTGGCCCCACTCATCTGAGCTCCGTGTGGTCTCTTGTTCTTGCTTGTAGAATACTGCGCTGCCAAGGCTGTCACTGGGCCATGCCGCGCGGCCTTCCCACGCTGGTACTTTGACACCGAGAAGAACGCCTGTGCTGTCTTCACCTACGGGGGCTGCCGTGGCAATAAAAACAGCTACCGCTCCGAGGAGGCATGCATGCAGCGCTGCTTTGGTGAGTTCCTGTCCCAGGATCCAAGACAAGGTGGTAGGCACCCTCCCTCAGGCTTTCCCTATCCCTGACACAAGCGCCTTGAAAATGCCAGCCTTTGGGGTCCACGAGTGCCAAAGCCTCAGAGCCCCTGGAAGAGCGCAACACTCCCTATGGAGGCCTGACCTGGGGGCTCCTGGGTTGGTAGCTGCTCAGGGAGCTGGGGAGGACTGTGAGCTGACCCCACCCCTCCCCTGCTGTGTCTTCTCTTTCAGTCCAGCAGCTGTATCCTCCCCTGTCCCTTGGTGCTAAAGGTAAGTGGCTTCCCATTCAGTCTTCCCTTCACTCTCCTGCTGCCTTCCATCCTTGACTAAAGTCACCCTTGCCCGGCTGTGGTTTCCACAGGCTCATATTGTGTTGGCCACGTTATTCTTCGCTGTAGACATGTTTGTGGTGGAAAGCTTGTCTCTACATGAGAATGTCAGGCAGCATAGAATACATGGTGTACATTTGTCCCACCGCACTCCATACACAAATACAGCTGGCCATGAGTCAGTCGTTCCTGAGGTCATCTCCTCCCAGGCAGTCAGGGAGGGAGTGGCTAGTAGACAGATTTTTACTGAGAACTGACATGAAGTTTGGAGGGAACTGTGCTGTCATGGGATGTAAAGAGTTGGTCATGGTGGCAGGAAGGAGAGCTACTTGGGCACTGTTGTCTCCAAGCAGTCTGTCCTGACCAGAGAGCCCAGTGTCTTTCCATCTGAGTCCATCTGAGTCTGAATGTGATGTTGACACACAGAACCTGCCACACTAGTTTGGCCTGTTTCTGACCTGCTTCCCTGCTAGGGAGCCAGGACCTGGCCTGCAGGTCAACCTCCTTCTGGAAGCTGGAACCCAGTTTTCCAGGAGTGGGGGTTGGGTTGGACAGAGGTCAAGCTCTGTAGCCAGTGAAGGAGAGGGAGTCAGGTGGCTGCCATGGAAAGTCACATGCTTTAGAGTACTGTCTGGGAAGGAAGCATCTTAACTGACCTGTGGGACCACAGTGGGGCAACTGTGTTACCTTTACCTAGTAGGTCATTAGGAGCACAAGGGTCCCTCCCAGCACTGCTTGAGATATAACCCTGCTGCCCTGATTGCATTCGGCAGGCTGCCATCCTGGCTACCTGGAGGGTCATTTTCCCAGTACTGGAGATGGAACCCAGGGTCTTGACACTGGCCTATATCCTTGGCCTTTAAAAATTTTTTTATTTCTAAAATGGAAAAGACTTTATTTAACTTTTGCCATATCAAAGCAACAAAGCAGCCTTTGTATGTCACCACTCATTAAAAAAGGACATTTAAAATTAAATCATTTAAATAATTTAAAAATAATTTATTTAGTCTTTTTGAAACAGAATCTCACTATGCAGTTCAGGATGGCCTTGAGCTCACTTTGAGGCCTAGGCTGATCTTAAACTCACAACAGTCTTCCTGCCTCAGCCTCCCAAGTGCTGGGATTACAGGAGTGTGCCACCACACCCAGCACCGGGCCATTATTTTTTATTGTGAGACAGGATTTTAAGTTGCTAAATTTTCCAGGCTGGGCTTGAACTTTCAGTCTTCCTGCCTCAGCCTCCCAGAGTTCCGGGGTTACAAGTACGCACTAGCACACCTGGCTGAGGTTGAATCTTTCTGTGGCTGGGCAGGAGTGGGTACAGGAAAGTTAAACTGTAATTTTCTGCCCACACACAACAAAGGTGAGCAGTTTTCCATCCTATGGGGCTCCCATATAGGTAGCTCTGAAAGGTGGCAGGGAATAGAGTTCAAGGGTTCTTTTCAAAAACAAGGAACGAAAGAGCCACTCTGCACAGGACATGGTGCTCCTTTCAGAGGATCCCTTGCTGACTTGCCTGGCAGGCCGTGTCTTCCTAGCTGCGGTTCTGCACACCCTTCCAGGTTGGAGAAGGGACACAGTTGAGGAGCCTCCCTGCTGGTCTGCTCTGGTTGGGAGCCTCCACCTCACACGTCCTCTCTCTCTGGTCCCCAGCGGTGGTGCTGGTGGGACTGTCCGTGATGGTCCTGATTGTCGTCCTGGGTGCCTCTGTGGTCTACCTGATCCGAGTGGTGCGGAAGAGGCAGGAGCGCGCCCTCCGCACTGTCTGGACCACCGGGGACGACAAGGAACAGCTGGTGAAGAACACATATGTCCTGTGAAGGCCTTGGCATCAGGGGGACTGGCGGAGGGAGGGAGGGACAGGGGAGGATGTATGCGCTTTTTTAAAAATAGAGTGATTGACGGTACCGTGAGATCATTAGGGCTGCAGTCTGTCTGTACTTGTACTTGGGAGTGAGGAGCAAGTTCCAGTCTAGGCCTGCTTAGGGAGCCCTCCTAAGAAGGCACTGCCGGCTGCCCGGCTTCTCCTCTTTCTGTCCTCTAGTGGCAGTGTTCTCTGCTCATGGCCGATCCCACTACCTGCTTTCTTACCCATCACAAAGTAATGTTGTAATAAGTTCTTGTGTGATTGTTGTCATTTTTTTAAGTAGGAACACCAGAGTTGTCTTTTTTTTTCTTTAGGATTCTAAAAGGAAGAAAATAAACTGTACAAGTTTAATAAAAGGGATTTCCCTTTTCAAATAAATTTTAGGACCGGGGATACAGCTCATTGGCACAACACCTGCCTGGCAAGTGTGAGGTCCTGAGCTCAGATTCCCAGTACCAAAAAAATTAAAATAAAATAAAGTAAATTTCAGTGTGTGGTTTCTTTGATAGGGCTACATATTTACACTTTCACCATGATAATCCGAGGTGAACCCTTCTACAAATAGACATTTTGGATCATTTAAATGCAAGCTGTGGTATGGCATAAACTTCACATTGCCCAAGGTGTTTCACCACACAGCACTCAGCCTCACAGCTGTAGGCAACTCCGATGTTTTCTTATTCTTTGTCACATTTTAAAACTTGTGGTCACGGCTGACTGAGTTGCAGTTGCCGAGATCCACAGGAGGGCCGGGATGGAGGCGCCTTCCCAGGGAAGACCTCTGAACACGGGTGTGGTTTAAGCCTCACTTGGGCAGCTGGGGCCTTTGTCTTCTGCAGTTCTGCAGTCTCCTCACCTGGAAGCAGGAAGAGGGCAGCTCCTGGACCAGCCTCTCGATGCCTTCCTGGACTTTTCTGTCATGTTCCCATACTGGTGTGAAACAGGACTGAGCATTGGGTGGCTGATTGGGCCTCCAGCATAGGCCTAGTACTGTGTCCCACGTGTGAGCTTCTCCTTAGACACTGGGAGCCCCCATCGCACCCCCTTTCCACACAGGCGCTCCTGAGGTGGCACCTGGTGGCCCCGAGGTCAGCAGGCGGCCTGGGCTCCGTCTGCCTCAGTGACTCCAGCAGCTGGGGCCTCTCTCCTGAAAGTAGCCAGATGGAGTCCACACTTCCAGATACCACTTTGGATTGTGAAACAAGAACTGGTGTCCTTCCCTTGGCCCTTCCTAGAAATCCTTTAGGGCTTAAAAACTGATTCCAGAAGCAGGTTGAGCAAATAGCCCACCTGCTCTGAACTTGCCTCTCTTACCCGAAGCACTTGATGCCCATGGACTCTGGCTTCCCCTGATCACCAGGGAGTCACTGCAGAGCCTCGGAGTTGGCACGCACATGGGACCTGCTTGATGTGGCCCTGAACATCCAGTCCCCCGAGCTCAAAGATAGCCTGGTCCACAGGCATGTGACTGCCGGCTGCCTGGCATAGCCTCAGTGATGGGCTATCAGGAGGGTGCCTGGCACATGGGAGGCAGGTCCCTGGACAGCGCTCCAGAAGAGAGCTCCTCAGGCTGGTGTCCAAGTTCTGTCCTCCCTCCTGGCTGCTGATTCTTCCACACATTTTGACACTTCCCAGGTAATGGTGCCACTGTACAGTGTGGCCCTTGAAACCTGTGCCAGGTTTCACATTCTGTGTCATTTACTGGCTGACAGTGGTGCCTTTTTGTTGCAAACGCTAATCCTGTGGGCCAGTAGCCAGTATATTCAATAGTCTCTGCATACCATACTCCTTGTCATCTTCAAACAGGGAAGGTGGGCTTTTAAGTGTTCACTCAAGCCTGGCTGTGGTGGCACACACCTGTAATCCCAGCTACTCAGGGAGGCTGAAGCAGGAGAATTGCAAGTTTGAGGCCAGCCTAGGCTACTTAAACTGTCTCAAAATTGAAAAGAGGGGAGCACAGCTGGAGGCTTTGCTCAGTGGTAGAGAATTTGCCTGTTGTACAAGGACCTGTGTTCCACCCCCACCACCACACATACAGATTTCTCACTGGGCTTCTGAAACACACTAGTCAGGTAGTGGCTGTCCACAAAATTTCTCCCTAGACCATCACCTGGCAAAGACTAGAGCAAGGAGGGGAGGTGTTGCTGCTCTTTCCCACTAACGTGGGCAGGCTGCCCCCAAAGGGCTCTGGGACTGTGAGTCCAGTTCAGCATAGCAGTCAGTCTGCTTTCCTGCCTGGCTGAGTGGCCTGTTTGCAAATTCCCCTGTAGTGACCAAATGGGAGATCATGACAGTGGTTACTGTCAGGTTTGTGAAAATGCTGTACTCACATTTCCTTCCACAGAAGGGGGCCCTTGTGAATAGTGGTGCTAGATGGGGTGAAGCTGTGTTTTCAGGGGCGGACACATCCATCTTCATTCTGCGGGGGTGGTGGGGTGGGTGGGGGGAGTCAACACCCCTACTCCCTGGCCACACATTCACTTACTCCACCTGGGATCCTGTCCCTGCCCACTACACACTCCCCCTGCATGCAAGGCCACCCACCAAGCTAGCTTGTCACTACACTCCTGAGTGGGAGACCCATCCCAGCATTTCCGTGGGCTGGCACAGCCTTGCACCAGCCAGGCTGATTCCACATCAGGTTTCTGACACCCAGGGAGTCCTGGGCAATTCCCCAAGTGGCATTACCCACATGTCTTAATGTCAATGTGATGGCCTTCCAGGTCGGGCTTCATGGCAGTGAGCCAAGTCCCCTGTGCCCCATCTGCAGGTTTTATGTTTGTGTGGGGCATGACAGGTGCTTTTTGGCTGAGTAATCAGCAGTGACACTAAAACTCAGCAGCTCGGTCTCAACACCCTTGTATGGCTCCTAGTGGATGACAGTGGGTCTTCCACCTGGCCTGTCTGCAGTAAGTCCTATAACCCTGCTCAGGACCCTTGGGCAGTGTATTCTACAGACAGTTGTGGCTGTGGTGGCACATGTCTGTAATCACACCACTCCCGAGGCTAATACAGGAGGATCCTCTGGAGTTCAAGGCCAGCCTGGGCTATGTAGTGAGACCTTGTCTCAAAAACAAAAAACTATCATAGATTTGACAGTTGGCTGGGTAAATGCCAAATTTGATCCTCCCTAGTTGGGCTGTTAGCCCTGTGACACCTCCCAGTGGTCCCAAATTTCCTGATGTTCATTCAATCTTAGGACACCAAAAGCCTAACTGGTTAGAGGCTAGTACAGAGCTTTGGTCTGATGGGAAAGGAAATAGCCCCACATACTGTGTGCTTAAGGTCTTCACTATGTGCTTAGGGTCGTCAGCTGGGATGCAGTTGATCTTAAAGAAAACATTCAGGGCGGGGATTATGATGTTTATAGGACCAGGCCACTCTGGTCTCTGTGAACTTCAGGCAAGACTAAACTTGGCCTTATCACAGCTGTTCTCCAGCTAAATGTGTCCACCCTGAGACGAGGGAGCACAAGACCCCTTGGAGGACTGTCCCTTACAACCCACCTACAGTGTCTCGCTTCCCTGCACACTGAAGGTGGCATCCAGAAGCCTCTGCCTAAGTGCAACACCAAGGTCACAGGTTCAGGACTGGAGCAACAGCCCTGAAGGACGTCTGTATCCTTCAGGTGGACATCACGGAAAGGACAAGTTGATTCTGCTGTGAGCAGGATCTGTATTGCTGCAGGCAGGCCACTTGAGAACACAAGTCCCTTTATCCAGTGGCAGAGCAGGCAGCACACTGGTGCTGTTACATCCTTTGCTCCAATGCATTTTAGGCAGAAAAAATTAGGGAGTCAGCAGAGGGTGGAGAGCAGAACTATTAGATACCAAAGTGAGACTAACAGGAATCCTACATGCCACCTGGGCCTGTAGGTCAGTGAAGAGAAGCCAGCCAGGCAGGCCCAGTGAGGACAATATGTACTACTGTCCCTGGGCTCAGCAGCCCTGGGAGATGAAAAGTGAATGGTAGGGTGCTAATATCTCCAAACAAAAGGCTCAGCATTCTCTGGGCCTCGTACCTGAGTTGCTCATCGAAGCAATTCTGTGTCTACCTTCCCAGATATGAGTGGCCACCATTTATAAACCTGGGCCATAGGTAGAGTAGGGGAGTAGCAACAAATGGGCACCAGTATCCATTTCTGCCTTCATTTCAGGGGGTCTCTAGGTTTCACCACCTCAGTGTGGCCGTTTAGCTAGGAATGTTTCCCAGCCTCTCTCGCAGCTAGATGTGACCATATGTCCTGGCCAATGTGTTGTGCATAGATGGGTCTGCATTTTTTTTTCCCTTCCTCTCTCCTGTTACAGTGCTGGGGATGGACCCAGAGCTTTGTGCATGCTAGGGAAGAGCTCAGTCAGTGAAACGCCCCAAGTGAAGGCCTGAAGTGTTGTGCCTTTTACTTGCCCTTGCCCTTCCTGACAACCTGATGATCCCATAGTGGGGATCAGCCTCAGCAGGTCACCCTGCCCTGGAGGGACACAGAGCAACAAGACAGATGGAGCCTGGGTCCCTGAGTGGTCACAGGGTACACACACACATATACCAGCTCAGTCTCAAGTAGCTCAGGTTTTCCTGTGACCAAAAAGGAAAGCGATCTTTTTTGGTCTTTTTTTGTCTTGTTTTGAGAAGTCCAGGCTGCCCTCAAACTCATTCAAAGCTCTCTCCCTCAGCATCCCAAATGGGGGGATTACAAGTGTGTGTCACTATTACCAGCTGTCTGTTGCCAGTTTTATGAGAACTAAAGTGTTTGTAAATAATAAAAATAACATGTATGGAGCATCTGTTTCTATGTACCTGTGCCAGGCACAATGTACAAAACCATTTACCTGTAAGGCAAGTTTGCCACTTTATCCTGGTGGTAGCATAGATCCTGAGTGGTTACCTCCTTTGTCCATAGAGCAGTGAGGGGTGCAAGGAGCTCCCCGCTATCAGTAGCCTGACCTCCACAGCCCGGACATCACCAGTTTGTACTGGCTGTAGCTTGTCATTAGCATACTCCTGACATCAGGTAAACTAATTCTCTGGTGAGTCACAGCTTTCTGAGCTATAAACAAAGCCATCAATGTCCCCACCCTCACAGGGGGTACATTTTACTAGAGAAGCATGTGAACACTTTCTTTGTTTCCTTCAGTACTAAGGATTGAACCTAGGATCTTTGCACTGAGCTACCTCTTCAGCTCTTTTTTATTTTGAGACAGGGTCTCACTAAATTACTAAGTAGCCCAGGTGGGACTTGAACTTGTGATCCTCCTGCCTCAGCTTCCCAGTGATGTGATTACAGGCCTCTGCAAGTATACCCAGCTGTGAGCAGAGTTTCAATCACTGCTCATCCCTTCCTCACATTCATCAAAAGAGCAAAGATCTGACTTGTAAGTCACTACTGTCTTCCAACTCATCTCATCTCTACCTCTGTCCTTTTTGTCTGTTGACTGTCCTGCAGTTCCTTGGACACATGGGTATATTCCTGCTTCAGCACCTTTGCACTTGCA